TCAGAATCAGTTGAAAACTGTAGCTTCAATCCTGCTCACGAACTATTTGTAACAAATTTCAAGATGTTCTAAGTCAAGGGCAAAAATGGTTCATCGAAAATATGTCAAATTCGAACTTGACCAAGATCTTATCAATCTAAAACATCACACCAAGTTTTATCAAAATCAGATAAAAACTGTAGTCTCTATAGTGCTCACAAGAAATGTTGACGGACGGACTGACGGACGGACCGACCGACAGGGGCGATGACAATATACAACCACATATTCATGTGGGCGTATAAAAACGATAATATTTATAAAACAAAACAACTTACAGAGCCAGTTACTTCTTCTATTGGTACATAATCCTTTTGAGTATCATCATATACAAACACTTTTATTGACTTAACATTATCAGTATTAATAGCTTCAACATCACTAAGAGGAACTGGATTACCATCTGGTGACAGGCGGACTGTAATGTTAACTCCCTCACTTGGTACATTAGGAATCTTATAAGGACTTGGTGAAGTTGGTCTTAAGTTCTCAGGATTATCTGATGATGGGGAGTCAGCTGGTTGCTGTAGATAACTAGCAGGAAGTAATTGTGGGTTTTCCATTCCAGCGACCTTAGTACATGGTGCTATAAAAGAAATTAAAGATATGATAGATGTAACACCAATATATAACAATTTAACTTAATATATTCTAAAAAACAATTTTAATTTCAATCATTTGTATTGTTATATTGAATGTTGTTTTTAAAACTTTTGAGTATCCAAAACCAAACATAAGCTTACTTGATGTTGTACCTGTAGCAGCAGTTGTTGAAACACCAGGCCCTGAAAAAAACAGGATAGAAAATAAAATACACAAATTATCCAAATGTAATCTTTTATACAATGAATTTTATAATGATCTGTTTAACCTACATAATTTAGACTTGTTAAACTATTCTTAACTAGCATCTAAATTAATTGTAGGAATCTGCACTAATAAATCTATCATTTTTAAAACCTTACATATGTTCAATATAATAGCTATTGACACAAACTAAATTCCTCAAAATATATTTATAAAACTAGTCAAATGTAGTTTAAATTTTAAGGGATCCTTTGAATAGTCTTCCTTCAAATCTCAAAGTTTAGAACAATCTCAAATCATTTCATAAAAATATTTCAGTGTACATCTCAAAAACAAATAGCTACAGTTTTACATTAAATTTGTATATAAAAATTGATAATTATTACATGTTGGTTTTCTTATGAATTTTATATTTTATGTTGCTGCTTAATTTTGTTTGTATGTATATATAATTGAGTGAAATACAAAAAAGGATATTTCGCCTAAATCTTACCCTAATAAAGTGATTATTATTATCATTATTATCATTATTATCATTATTATCATTATTATTATTATCATTATTATCAAACATACATGGTTCTTTGGATTCAAAATAATCTTTGTTGAAAATATACAAAATTACAACATATGCATTAAGATTTGTTAAATATACTAATCAAGGTTTTAAAATTTAACAAATAACAAAAAACAAATAAAATATACACAGTTTAATAGATTTTTGATGTAGGTAATATCACTGACTTTAAAATTGTTTGGCAACAACAAAGTCTACAGAATGCCATTTGATGCATGAGCAAAACTAAATGGGTATTAATAATAACAAAAATTATCAACTCATTGTTATTTCCTAGAATGAGTAAGCCTGAAAGAGAACAAACATTGAGATGGCTCTATGCTGATAGAAGTTTAATGGTTTAATTTAACATTTCTTCATTGGTCCAGTGAAAAAAAACAAGAAGTAACAAATATCAAATACAAAAAGTACCTGTTGGTGGTAGAGTGGCTGAGGTACCTGTTGGTGGTTGAGTTGCTGATGTACCTGTTGGTGGATGAGTTGCTGATGTACCTGTTGGTGGTAGAGTAGCTGAAGTACCTGTTGGTGGTTGAGTAGCTGAAGTACC